GGGGCTCCTACCTCTTGCACCCGGGGCAAGGTGGCGGCCGAGCGCATCCGGTGACGTTTTGGAAGTTGGGTCCACCGGATGAAAACGGCCCGCAAAGAGTGTTACGAACAAGTAAAGAACGAGCGTTCTTGTCAGCCGGTACTGCAGGAGAGGCTGGAGTCACGGCCGAGTCCCTGCGCAAAGCCCCGGGCTGGGAGGCAAAGACGTGGGAGGGTCGCCCAGAGGCTTGGAAAGGGGGACGAGCTCGGGTCCGCGCGCTCATAGAAGGAGCTTCACCTGTCCCGGCAGCCGCTATCCCCAAGCCCTCGAGCCGCCTTCCTCCCCACCTTCTGTTTTGTTTTTCTTTTTAAAAAAGATGACCTGTAAGGGGATCTTAACCCTTGACTTGGTGTTGTCAGCACCACGCTCAGCCAGTGAGCAAACCGGCCATCCCTTTATGGGATCCTAACCCAGAGCCTTGGTGTTATCAGCACCACACTCTCCCGAGTGAGCCACGGGCTGGCCCAAAGATAGAAACTGTTTTTTTTGTTTGTTTGTTTGTTTTTTGTCCTTTTTGAGACCGGCCGCACCGCGCTCAGCCAGTGAGCGCTGTGAGCGCACCAGTCATCCCTATATAGGATCCGAACCCGCGGCGGGAGCGCTGCTGCTCCCCCAGCACCGCACTCTCCCGAGTGCGCCACGGGCTCGGCCCCCTCCCCACCTTCTGGACGCCGGATGACTGCCTTGGTGATTGGGAGGCCGAAGCCTTCTCTCCTGTTCGCAGCTCTGACCGCCACTAGATTGTTCCGGGCCCGAGTCTCCTGGCGCCAGGCACAGGCGCTTTCACGTCTCAGGGGCCCAACTGGTGACTGATGACTACACCGATCTACCTTACTGCGGCTCTTCCTTCCCTCAGGCAACACCAGAATCGTCCTCACCCCTTCCCACCCTTTTACTGAGGCTCCAGCTGCCGCCCATTTCCAGGGGTTCACCCAGGCAGGTCGTTGACAAGGCTTCATTCCAAAAGCTGAGGAATGCGGTGAAGAAGAGGTTATGACAGAAGTTACTTGGTAATTTTTTTTTTCTTTAAGGTAAAAGTCTGCTTTTAGGAATGTGTAAAGGACTACTGGGGTTGGAAGATTGGTTTCAGGATGTCCATGAATTCCCTGACATTGCATGTATATTTTTCTGGGCAGAGATTTCCTGATTCTCAAAGATTCTTGATTTAGCAGTCTCAGGAACCTGCCTTAGACCGGGAGTCACCTAGAAGAACACTTGTAAAAACTGAATTGCAAGCAATCATCAACAGCAGCAGCAGCCTGAAATCTCATTAAGGTAATTTTTTAAAAAACTGGACCATCCAGATGACCCAGAATATATTACATAAAGTTGTTAATCAAGAAGAAAAATGTGTATACACACACATGCATGCACACACACACAATAGGTAACACTTGTCCTGTTATGAAAGACAAAGGATCTCCCCAAGCAAAGCAGAAGATCAAGGACACAGAATGAACAGCATATGCAAAGCCAGAAGCTAACAGCACAGCATGTAGGGGTACTTAGGAAAGGGTGAAACTTACAGTGCGGGGATGAAACTGGTAATCAAAGTCATATTAAGGCCATGATGAAACATAATGCAGTTTGTAATAATAAACACTAGAAAAGAATCATATCCATAAAATTGTAAAGAAATACTTTATTTACCTAAAGTGTTAGTATACCATTAAAATTAAGTTTAATTAGGGAAGGAAGAAAAAAGTACATGGGCATAGCTTCAAAAATTCTGAAGGATACTTCTGGGTATTTAGGTAGGACTTTGAAACTATGAGGCCTGTTTTTTTTTCAAATGGGTCTAAAATTAAGATAATGTCTTTTCCTTGGTAGAATTCTACTTGCACACAATTAGGACTACCAGTCACAATTATGGTCAGATACTGACTCCTAAGTAAACTGAAGGAGGGAGGCAAACAGAAGTAAAAGAGAAATATATATGTTGGAAGATTTTTCTGAGAATCTATGACTCCCCCCCCCCCACCTTAAGAAGATGCTCAGGTACAACAAAAGTTGGTCACTAATGTTGGAATGAGTGGATTGTTAACTGAAGGGCCTTTTCTTTTGCTGTGCAGTGATGGGTTTAAGAAGGCAATTGGCGGGGGGCGGGGGGGAGGAGATGGACTAGATATCTGGCAAGAAAAAAGGAGCTGATGTGGCTGAGCCCTGAGAGGACAAAGAAAAATCTTCACTGGTGGTCTAATAGGAAGTACAATGTGAACCTTAACCTCTTACACAATTCTTCAGTGAAATCCATATTACTCATTGTGTTTGTGTGAGTAGACTCTTTGGTGGCAGTTTGAAGAGGTGCTGAGTTCTGTATCAGGGCTGGCAAGGGGTGAATGTGGAAATAAAATGTGAGCACAGGTTATCAGAAGTTAAAGGGATAGGTGGCATCCAGGCTTCAGATGAGAAAGATATGGTCTGGGCACAACTCAATTTGAGCTCGAGCAACAAAAAAGGGATTAAGAGAATACACACCACTTATAATCACCCTAAGGGAAGAAGTAAGTCAAAGAACTTTTTCTGCTAAGAGTTTGACTGTTAGAGTCAGAGGTACCTGGAAGGATGTGGAAACTGCAATCAACTTTATTTGTACAGCTCTTTTCTCAAGCCAAGAGTATAAACCTGGGGAGACACTTATATTGAGGGTACAGAATAAACCCATGTTGTGGATTTTAGCCATGACCAGTTGTTTCCAAAGACATGATTTAATTCATAATATTCAAATCTATTTAGTAATTAGTAGTAAAAAACATGCAAAGGATTTCAAGTAAGGCAGTAATGAATCTGCCTGTAGTAGATTGAATTATGTCCCCCAAAACTCACTGAAGCTTGAATCGTATCCCCCAAGTTTTACGTATTAGAAATTTAGCCCCCACTGTGACTGTGAAGAAGGTGGGAAATCCTATTATCATCATTGAAAGGTGGAGCCTTGAAGAGGTGGATTGTGGGAATGTGCAGTAGTGAATGGATTAAAAATGGTGGTCAGGGGTGTGGTTCTGAGGGCTCTATTTATTTTTTTTTTTAAAAAGATGACTGGTAAGGGGATCTTAACCCTTGACTTGGTGTTGTCAGCACCACGCTCACCCAGTGAGCGAACCGGCCATCCCTATATGGGATCCGAACCCGGGGCCTTGGTGTTATCAGCACCACACTCTCCCAAGTGAGCCACGGGCCGGCCCGTTCTGAGGGCTTTAAAAGAGGAGAGTCTGTTTTCTCTTTCTCTCTTGCTCTCTCTCCTTTCACCATCTTGCAATGTGAGACCCCTGAGTCACTGTCACCACCACCAGATGGACTTTGGACTTCTCAGCCTTAGAAACTGTAAGCAATAAACTTTGCTTTTCTTTACAGATCATCCAGTTCCAGCTATTCTGTTATAAGCAACAGAAACAGACTAATACACTGCCTATCTGCACAGTGGTTAAGAGCATAGACCAGGCTTACAGTCTTGGCTCTAGCACTTACTAGCTGTGTGATCAGGATAAATTACTTAACCCCCCATTATGTCCCTCCTCATCTTTTAAATTGGGGTAAGAATACTCACATCATTGATGGTTGTGCAACCCTGTAAATTAACCAAAAAATCATTCAACTGAACACTCAAAACAGGTGTATTTTATGGTATGCAGAGTATACCTCAATAAAGCTTCTTTTAAAAAGAGTAACCACATGATAGGGATGCTGTGAAAATAAAAATGTAAACTGTCTGGCACTGTGCCTGGCATACAGTATACACTCAATAAATATTAGTGATTAGTATCAGTGTAATAAAGACGTTAAAGAATAAAACAATGAAGATACGTAAAGTTAGATTTTTAAAAAGGAACCAAGGAATTATTGGGCTGTTTGAAACTTCAGAAGTCATTTAGTTCAACTCCCCTCATTTTACAGGTGAGAAAATCAGAGACCAGCAGGTGAAGTGCCCAATGCAAGGTCTAGCTCTCAGACCAGACCCCAGGCCTGCTGGATCCCTATTAATGCAATTCCCACTAATACCCACTGCCTCAGAAACATGGACACAAGAAAATGGAGGGATGCATTTCCTTAAACAAGAAATAACATATAGGAGAACACAGAAAACATATGTAGAGATCTTGAAGTAAGAATTCCAAGGCCAAGGAGCAAACCAAGAAGAGGGTGTCACATCCTGGCCTATCAGCCAGGGCTGCTAGCAGTGGGGTCCAGGTCATGAGAGCTGAAGTACTTTGGCAAGGACAGGCTCTGGTTAGTCAGGTGAACCAGCTCATCACTGTGGCCTGGTGCCCAGTGGAGGTGAAGCTGCAGTCCTCTCTTTGCTAGTTCCTGACACAGGATCAGTCAGCAGTGGCAGGAACTGGAGCCAAAGTGAACGCAGCAGAATTCTTAGGAGCAGTAGTCAGTCTGAGCAGCCCTGAAGTGAGGATAGCTACTAAAGAGCTGCTCTACCCATGCTGAGTAGTCTGGCCTCAATTGTTTATCCCCTGGCCTTGCCTATTCAGCCCCTCTGGGTTCTAAGGCCTTCACTTACAATCCTATAAATTGTCTGTCAGTTCCCTCAGTCATGGTACCCTCTTCAGATGAATGAGAAAGCCTAGCAGATGTGAAATGACAAAAGCTTCCTACTTCTTCACTACTGCTGCCATCTTTTAAGGGAACTTGATAGCATGGCTGGAAGATTTTGAGGCCAGTAAAAGCTTACTAAATTATTCCAATACTAAACGGTGGACAGAAGAATGAGGTGTGTCTTCTAAGTCATGACTTTCTAACATTTCAGGGGATAACATTCAATGAGTCAACTTTGTCATTCTTAGGAGGTGGTGGCATCCTGTTCCCCACTTTTCCTAGAGACTAACAATTTAGGCTAGATGGCTAATACTGACCCCCAACGTTATGTGATCCATTGAGGGAGAAAGAAGGAAGTGAAGGAAAAAGGGACATGGTAATTAAGGCCTGAAACAGCTTTCACAATTTAACTCAGTTAATTGAAACTTCTCAACAAATAATTCATTAAAGTGCCTCCTTTTCGACCAACTGTTTAAATAAAAATCAGTAGAAGGACAGAGGAGGTTCTGTCCATTCATTTGATCTAAGAACTTGGGGGACAGATTATGAACAAATTAGTAAGTCTGATTTCAGACTTTCCACAAAAAGCCTTCCTATTCTGCGGATCACTCCATGCAGTGAACACTTTGATGTCGGAGGAGGTGAGAGCTCCGACTAAAGGTCTTCTGACATTCTTGGCACTCGTAAGGCTTCTCTCCAGTGTGAATTCTCTGATGTATGATAAGTTGGGAATGCTGGCTGAATGTTTTTTCACACTCATTACATTCATAAGGTTTCTCTCCAATATGAATTTTCTGGTGGCGAAGCAGCTCAGAGTTATCCCAGAAGGTTCTTGCACACTCATTACATTGATGGGGTTTTTCTCCTGTATGAATTCTCTGGTGGACAATAAGATGAGAGGTCCGCCTGAAAGCCTTTCCACACTCGAAGCATTCATAGGGTTTCTCTCCAGTGTGAATTCTCTCATGTCTAAGAAGTTCTGAGTTCCCCCTGAAGGCCTTCCCACATTCCTTACATACATAGGGCTTCTCACCAGTATGAATTCTAATATGTCTAATAATTTCTGAGTTCTGGCCAAAAGTTTTCCCACATTCATTACATTCATAGGGCTTGTCCCCTGTATGAATTCTTTGATGCCGGATAAGCTCAGAACTCTGACCAAAGCCCTTCCCACACTCATTACACAGATAAGGTTTTTCTCCAGTATGAATTTTCTGGTGTCTAATAAGGCCTGAGCTGTGCTTGAAGGCTTTGCCACACTCACTGCATTCATGATATCTTTCTTCAGTATGAATTCTCTGATGCTGAATAAGCTGTGAGCTAACCCTAAAAGTCTTCCCACATTCGTTGCATTCATAAGGTTTCTCACCAGTATGGATTCTCTGGTGTAGAATAAGGGCTGAATTCTGACTGAAGCCTTTACCACATTCTTCACATTTATAGGGTCTCTCTCCAGTATGAATTCTATAATGATGGATAAGATGTGAACTCTGAATAAAGGCCTTTCCACATTCACTACAAGCAAAGGGTTTCTCTCCAGCATGGATTCTCAAGTGCCTTCGAAGGCTTGAATTAGTTCCAAATGTCTTTCCACATTCTTTGCATTCAAAGGGTTTTTCTCCACTATGAACTCTCATATGCTGGATGAGATGTGAGTTCTGATTAAAGGCTTTCCCACATTCTTTACATATGTGAGGCTTTTCTTCCACAGAACTTCTCTGTGTTTTGTTAGGTTCTAAATTCTCTATGAAGTTTTGGCCAGAGGTAGCAAATGTACTAACTCCCTCTGCTATGGTATCCCCCTGTTGTATGATCAGATTTAGGCAGGGGCTACAGCCTCTCTCTCTCTCTTTATTCTCCTGGTCTTCCTCACTTGAGGGTGATTTCTTAAAGATAATCAACCCTGATGCAAAGTCTCTCTCCTGAGGAGATATCTGTTCTATAAAATCTTCTGTGGACTCTCTCGAATGTCCCTCCAATATGTCTTCTTCACATGCTGCTCTAACATTGTGATCTTGGTAAACCACTTTTGGAAGTTTTTCTAATATTGACCCATGTAGCTCAGATTCTTCAGAAATTTCTTCCTTGGGAATCAGCTCCTTGTTCTCAGTCCCCATCTTACAATCTGAAATGAGAGAGGTTAAGTATGTGAAGTGACTATGTCATACTTAGATGAAGCCGATGCTGGAGGAGTACAGAGTTCTGATACAGTTCTGATAGCACTCAAAACCAGTCCCGGTGTCTGGTGAAATAACAGGATGCTGCTGAAGATAGAGATTTGGGATTATGGTGGACATACTAAACAGCAGATGCTGACTGAACACAGAAAAATGATCGGAGATTTAAGGAGAGAAATAGGAAATGGATGATAAGGAGATGCTGATGAAAGTTTTATAATACTAACAGTGAGTTGGTAAAGAAAACATTTAGGGAAAATGGTGGCCATAATAGATGTGTATATGGAAAAGGCTGGAAAAAGGGACACAAATGACAAGTTATTAGAAATAAGTTTCAGGTTTACAGAGGAAATAACCACTAAATGAGCAGCAAGAGGAACTACTCTTAATCTAGTCCTGTGGTACCCACCAGCTCTATAGAGCAGGGGATACTATCTATAGGGGTTACCCATTCAAAAGGTTAATGTGACTTAGCTATAACTAGCACAAAAGTAACTACCCGTGGCTCCCTTACATTTGGATGTAGTAAGGTTCTAAGTGGCTAGTGAATTGTGTCAATACCACTTATAGAATAATTCTTTTCCCTACTGAATTAAAATGCCACCTACACCATGGTCTAAATGTCCATATATATCTGGGTCAATTTCTGGATTCCATTCAGTTCTATTCATCTATTTCTTCTCTAAATACCAACTGTTCAACATGCGGGAGCTTTATTAAAAATTTTAATATGTTAGAGAAAGTTATCTCTCAGTCTTCTTTTTCAGATATTTCCTATTTTCATATTTTTCCAAATAAATTTTAGTATAATTTTAGAAAATTTCAAAACTTATCCTGATGTTTTTATATCCATCACATCTCTGTATGTTTTTTCATTTAGTTTTTCTTATATTTTCTAACTTGTTATTTTCATATATAGCAATGCTGTTAATTTTTATATATTAATTTTGTGATCAGCCCTTTTATAAAATTGCATTAATACTTTTATAGATCTTTTTATTTTTTATTTGTTTTATTAAATACTTTTATAGATATTAAAGTGTACATTTTAAAACTTTTAAAGGTGTGGCAAGGATTTTTAGTTGCCACCCACAATATCTATTCTTCTCCATCTCCTCACAACAGAATAATAAATTTACTTAGTGTGGCAATGAGCCTAGCTAAAGAAATACATTCCCCAGCTTTCTTTGCAGCTGAGTTTGGCCATGTGACCAAATTCTGGCCAATGACAGTAAGATGCAAATGAAAGAATATTTGACCACTGAGAACTCTCCTAAGGGACGAGGGGACGCATTTCTTCATTCTCTTCTTCCATCCTGTTCCTGGGGAATGATGTGACAGTTGGAGTGCCATCGTGGACCATGACTACATCAGCATACCCTAGGACTGGAGATCAGAGAAGAAACTTGGTCCCTAATGACTCCATGAAGCCTTTATATATATACATATATATATATGAAGCCAAACCTATTCCTAACTAATACAATTGCCCTAGGCATTTAGCTGTCCCCATCACAGAACTGGGGTCCAAATGCTAGAAGAATAAGCCTGACCTCTGTTTGGGTGGTAAGCAATCTGGAGCTATATTAAAGTGGCCCTTTGCTAGGGTAGCATATTTGTGCACCACAGCAAGTCTGGGGAATACAATCCTCCCACCAGTAGAAGTGTTAATTGTGGAAGATGATTCTCAAGGGGCAATGGGCAGGTATGAAACTTCATCCTTTAGACAATGCAGAGTCACGCAATTTTTTTTCTATTTTTATTAATTTTTAATTGACACATAAATAATTATACATATTTGTGAAATACTGTGTGAAATTTTGATACATGTATACAATGTATAATGATCAAATCAGGTCAATCAACATATCCATCACCTAAAACATTTATCATTTCTTTGTGTTGGGAACATTCAAAATCCTCTCTTCTGGCTAACTGAAAATATACAATAAATTGTTATTAATTATAGTTACTCTACAGTGCTATAGAAATTAGATCTTATCTCTCCTATCTAGTTGTAATTTTGTATCTGTAAACCAACCTCTCACTACCTCCCTTCCCCCATATCCTTCCCAGCTTCTGGTAACCACTATTCTACTCTCTACTTCTATGTGATCAACTTTCTTATCTTCCACATGAGTGAGAACATGCAGATTATTTCTCTTTCTGTTCCTGGCTTATTTCACTTAACATAATATCCTCTAAGCTCATCCATGTTGCCATGAATGATAGGATTTCATTCTTTTTTATGGCTGAATAGTATTCCATTGTGTGTGTATATATAACACATTCTCTTTATCCATTCATCTGTTGATGGACATTTGTGTTGATTCCATATCTTGGCTATTGTGAATAGTGTTGCAATAAACATGGGAGTGCATCTCTCCAATACTCTGATTTCCCTTCCTCGGATATATACCCAGTAGTGGGATTGCTGGATCATAGTTCTATTTTTAGTTTTTTGAGGAACCTCCATATTATTTTCCATAATGGCTGTTCTAATTTGCATTCCCACCAACAGTGTATAAGAGTTATGGAATGGTTTCTAAGCCAAGGAGTAACATGATCCCTGGTCAGATTAGCATTTCAGGTAGAGGTACACTCGTGGCCATTTAGTTGCTGAACAAGAGGGCCATAGGCCTGGACCTAGGGAGATCAGTTAGGAGGCTGATGGAGTCATTAAGGCAAAAGGTGATGAGATCTAACTAGGGCAACAGTAATCGTGGGGATGAAGAGAAGACAGACTGGAGAACTATTTAAGAGGTCAAATTCTGCAAGGTTTGGTGTGTGATTGAATATAGATGGTAAGGATAGGGAGGAGTCAAAGATGGTGCCCAGATCCCCCTTAATTTCATGGATGGTAATTAGATGGATGGTGGTGCCACCAAGATTGGGAATACCGGAGGAGGAGCTAGTTCAGGAGGGAAGACGACAGATGAGCTTTGTTTTGGACACGATGAATTTCAAGATATCCATATAGAGGTATCAAGGAATCAGTCAAAATATATTGGTCTATTGGTCTAAAGCTTAGTCAGGACTAGAGATACTGACTTGAGTAATCAGCATGAGTATAGTGTGAGAACTGTCAGAGACTGAGGACAGAAACTAGGAGTCAAAACTAACAGTCAAGAGTAGTCCAGTTATCTTCCGTTTTCTCCCTCTAGATCTTCTTTACACCTTTCTCCACACTGCGGTCTGTCCCAGATGGCTAAGCTGTATGACACACATCAACAGGCCTTCTGGCTTCTAACTGTGTCCCATCAATGGGGAGCCCCAGCAGGAGACGGAAAGTAGGAAGAAGGCAGTCAGGGTATTTATTTTCCTGGTTCCTTCCCGTGAGGTCACCCAAGGCTGGTGGTGTCTCTCAACTGAAAGTCATTACTCCTCTGAAGAAGTCTATCCTACCCAATTGTCTCAGCACGTGGGTTCCAGTAACCTCCACTACCTCTTGTCTCTTCAGGCCCGGGGCTAGTGACCACTCCACTGTTGCCAGACCCAGGTTCCTCAATACCCTGCCCACACCTATATCATTTAAAATTAACTTCTTTGCAAATAAACCCTCCTCAAATTATCCTAATTTGAGTGAGCCATCTGTTTCCTGTTTGGACTCCAATAATAAAGGAGTGGGTGGAGGAAGAGAAAGAATGGTTAGTGAAACAGAATAACCAGAATACAGTATCAGAAGTCACCAGGGCGGGCCGGCCCGGTGGCGCGCTGCTACAGTGCGCTCAACATGATGAAATGACGAAAAGTATATAGGACCTGAAAGAAGAAATGTACAAGGAAATCAATGTCCTGAAAAAGAATGTAGCAGAGCTTGGCGAGCTGAAGATTTCATTCAATAAGATAAAAAACACAGGGCCGGCCTGGTGGTGCACTGGAGAGTGCGCTGCTTGGGAGTGCAGCGGCGCTCCCGCAGAGGGTTCGGATCCCACATACAGACCGGTTCCCGCTCACTGGCTGAGCAAGGTGCGGGCGCAACACCGAGGGTTGTGATCCCGTTGCCGGTCCGGTCCGGTATGGGCGCGACACTGAGGGTTGCGATCGGTTGCCGGACACGAAAAAAGACAAAAAAGGAAAAAAAAAGAAGTCACCAGGGCAATGGCAGAGGGAATTAAACAGTACCAAATGCAGTTGAGAGACACAATAGGATAAGAATTGGCAAATGTCTACTGAGACATATGGTGGTCCCAGATGACCCAAGAGAACAGATTCAGTGAAATGGTAGAAGCAGAAGCTGAATAGGGCAACCAGGCTGGAGCTGGAGCCAGAAGCCCCCTGGGGTCCTGAGGCTGCTGGGCCGTGAGCTTTGGCCCTGCTCACCATCAATGGTAACCAGGCCAGCTACCCAGCCAGCCATGGGCCAATCTCACCCCCTCTTCCTCACTCCAACAACATCTTAGAATGTACTTATTATTATTATTATTTTTTTTTTTAAAAAAGGGAAGCTGAATGACAGTGGACTGAATAATGAATTTGCTGCTGCTTTTTTAAAAAATGTGGATAAAAGGAGAAGACCAAGATAAACAGTAATGTGAATGTGGCACAGGTCAAGGATTTTCTCTAGTGGGAGAGATCTGAACATGTTTATATTAGAAAGGATGGTGTCAGTAGAGAGATGGGGGTTAAGAGGAAAGAAAAGATGTGAGTATTGAAGAAATGAAGACCCTGAGTGGCAGGAGAGACTGATGTCAAGTGGTGAGGAAAGGGGAAAGTAGTGATTTTTTGGGTGACCTTTGTACTGCTCTTTTTGTCCAGTCATCCATGGGATGGTGGTTACTACCACCATCCTACCCTGGGGCCTCTCTAGTCACTCATCAGTACGGCTCGGGCAATGCCCCCTCCCCTGACACCTGGAAGGAACCTGATCTCCTACTGAAATCTGGAAGTCTTGGAAGCTCTTTGTGCTACCCCTCAAAATGAGCTGGAATCTTCTTCAACTTTCCCC